TTTAAATGCGATTAATAACTTGATAATTATATTACACAACAGTGAAAAGTTTGGAAGCCTACATCAAATAGTTTTTATGTACTGATAACAAACGTCTATGTAGATACTTTATATTTGTAGTGTACATGATAAAACTCACACTGGGTGATTTAGTGCATACTTTTATAAAGTATATAAACCAATCAAATTAATTATAAATACAAGTAATAATATAATTATTTTTTAAAATAATAAATTAATAAATATATTAGTATATTTGTTATACTATTTATTTAATATTGCATCATGTATGCATTTAACACATAACTGCAGCGCTACAACACTGCACACAGTTACTACACAAAGCTATCCATGTGATTGGTCAGTAGTACTTACACAGGAATGTTGTGATACTCCCACTCACTCTTAGGTAATAAAAACCCAATGTTTTCCCAAATTCGGGGCCTTTTTTCTGCGTTAACTTTCTTATGAAAGTTAACTGCTTTTACATAAAGTGTTTCTCTATATAAGCTATTGTAAAGCAATGAATACTTTGTAATGTTTAATAACTAAAATAAAAAGTGATTATTACTTAAATTGTGTCCAATTTAATAACAATAACAATAACCGAACGAAGAGCAACCTGTAGTCATCTCCCGGAAGCGGCGGCCACCGAGTGGGCCCAACAGCCGGTAAGTCAACTGCTGCAGTGATACAGATGCCCGGCGCGCACCCGCTCTCCAGCGCTTAGCCGACGCCGTGAGCAGAGGATTACAGCCAGTACTGTATAGTTACGTAATCGGGTACAGTACATGTTGCAATATGAATATTATTTTAATAAGTATAGCATTTATTCTAAATGTATGTTTAGTTTGCAATGCATTGGACGACGAGATTGTGTCACTTCCGGGCCTTTCAAAGCAAATCCAATTCAAACAATATTCCGGTTATTTGAATGCCTCGAAGGGAAGGCATTATTTCTATTGGTTTTTTGAGTCAATAAAGGATCCCCAAAACGCACCGGTAGTCCTATGGCTACAGGGAGGCCCGGGTGGCAGTTCACTGTTTGGCATGGCCAGTGAAAACGGACCATTTAGATTTAACGCTGATGGTAAGACTGTTGAATTGGCCGAACATAGTTGGAATTCAGTCGCAAATGTCTTATACCTGGAGTCGCCGTCGGGAACGGGATTTAGTTATGACGACAATAATAACGACACTAATAATGACGAGTCGACTGCTTTGGATAACTACTTATCTCTCGAAAGTTTTTTCGTAAAATATCCACAATTTAAGAAAAATGAGTTTTACATCACAGGCGAGAGTTATGCCGGCGTTTATATACCAATGTTAGCCACAAAAATATATCAACACAACTCTACTATCAATTTAAAAGGTATTTGTGCTTTAAAACTCTTAAATAAATTAGATTTATGTTAATTAATTTGTATTTTAAATTTATAAGGTTTGGCCATAGGAAATGGTCTTTTATTAAACTACCAACATCAACCAATTTTTGGCCAATCAAGTTATGACTATTTCTTAGCGCACGGATTGATTACAACGGATGCCTACGAGAAAAAGATTGAGAGTTGCTGTGAGTGTACGGCCGGTGCAGTTCAACACCAGTGCGATTTCACTAAAGCACCCAATATAACGTAAATATAATTAAATTTAACTAGTACAAATACACAAATTTACAATTTTACAAATACTAATTTAATATTGGAATATATCTTAATAAATTAACAGGAAGTAATAATTTTTACAAGATAAATAATATACTATAAGTTTTGAATTTAATTATATAAATTATTTACAGTCAATGCAATTCAGTACAGATAGATATGATTAGACCAATCAATTCGTACAACATATACGACAATTGTGGGGCCGATATTCCCAGACAACAAATGTTCAACACTTACTATAGGCCGGCATTCAAACAAATTGGCATTAATATTAACTTGAAAACAAACAACGGGGTAAACACACGACCAGAATGTGTCAAATCAGGTCTCACTGCATACCTAAACACAGATGCCGTGCGAAAAGCCCTACACGTAAGGCCGGGCAGTAGTCAATGGGGACACATTGGGCCTTATGATAGGGACCACTATATGACACCACAGGCGGAAACTGTTAAACAATTAATAAATACATATAAAATACCAAAACTGATTGTATATAACGGAGACTTCGATACGGTTTGCAATTTCATAGCCGATCAGAGGTTTGTCTCAAGTCTGGGCTTTCAAAAGGCCGATCATTACAGGTATGCCATGGCTTTAGTATTGCATTAATGCTATGTTTTGTAGACATTATTAAAACTTTGTGTATTGTATGTGTGGGACAGGGAGTGGACAGTCGACGGCACCAGTGATGGAGTAATTGGAGGTTTTATACAAAATTATGAAAAGGGATTGAGTTTTGTGTTGGTTAGAGGGGCCGGACATATGGTGCCCACCGATAAACCTGAGGCCGCACTACAACTACTCAAAGGATTGCTTGGATTTGCAAAACTATAATTATTAAAGAATTTTAAAATTAATTATGTAATAATTATATATCTATTTATTAAGATTTAAAATATTAATCGTTTTAATTAGTTATAACTTAATTTATAACTTATAAACTTAAAAATCTAATAGTTTATTTTATTTAATTAATGTTTTTAGTATATAATAAGTTAGCTTTCGTGTGAAATCAATATCTATTTTAATAATAAAGTTAATAAATGCAAATTTTACAAAGATAAATTTATTGTTGCTTTAATAGTAATATTTAATAAAAACATTTCAAATATTCATTTATTATAATAAAATAAATAATTCATAACTCATTTATCTGTCAAATAAAAGAATTACAGTACATTAAATTGCAAAATATGTCATATATTACATATACAAATATATCATTTATAAAAACAATTATTTAAATATTTTTGTATTTTTTTACCATATTAATTTATATCCTGTTTATTTAAGATGTGGAATTGATGATAGGTAATTTGTAAATGTCATACGGTCATTTGCAATCAATCTACAATATATTTATACATTTTCAATATTAGTTAGGCATTCTAAAGTGTTTCATTATTACATTAATAAAATTTATTTAATTGTAATTAGGTTTAACAAATTATTTACAATTTACCTTTATGGATCTTCATAATATTGTAAGATGTATAACCTATCCAATAGGGGACTCATCATTAGGTGACATTAATAGTGACCGAAAGCTGTTAATAATTAGAAATGGCGAGGTAATTATAATAAAAATTAAATATAAGCATGTTTGTTTAAAATACATAAATGTAAATGTAAAAATAAAATGTAAATGAATAAAGAAACAATTTTAAAAACAGTCTTATAACATAGAATTTTACAAACATTTTTAAATATAAATAATTTTACTAGTTTGTTAATTGCAGAGAATATGCAACATTGAACAACAAATACTCCGGGTATTATCAAGTGGCATCTACGCTAAGTTTAATATTACGCTAAGAATTTTCACTAATCATACATATTTATATGGACATATGAAAATAAATAAGGTTGGTTACATAATTTGTCATAGATGCAATATACAGTAATTATTTAGATTTAAATGTTTTAATCTATTAAGTAGAACATAGATTTGGCACTATTATCAATGACAATTAACAAAGGAATGACTAAGTTGGCAAATGTACATTGGGTTACTAACGAGTATAATATGGTAATTCTAAGCGGTAAATATGTAGAAAGACCTGATGCTTCAAATATCATCAAAATGTTTTCCATGGTCACATGGCTACTTATATTAGCATGTGTATTATTTATATTTTTATATGAATATCTTAAATTAAAATTAAATGGTTAGTATTTGATGAAAAAATTTACATGAATTATATAATTAAAAATTATAGTACTTTTAATATTTACTATTTTAATGTAGCACAAAATAGTAAGCTTGATTTAGCCGGAATTGTTTTTGAAATAATCAGACACTTGCTAAATCAAAGTATTATTATACAACTAACTAGGTCATATGTTTTAAACTATTTATGGCCGATGGCGACAGTTATATTGACAAATGCGTTAAGCGGTGGCATATTATCATCGGTGGTAAACCAACCATGGCAAAACATTAACTCTATTAATGAAGCTATTGCTGCAAATATACCTGTTATTATACCTAATCGTAGTGCAATTTGGCAAATATATCATGATTATAAAATAGGCCTACCCATTGAGTTAGGCGAAGAGCTTGATAGATTATTCAAAACTAATCAAGTTATATTTGTTAATGAAAAAGGAGGGTCTAATCCAAGGGTAGCAACTTTTATAAGTTTTACAAAAATTATATAATTTATTTTAATTGAAATTATAAAACTATTTATTTTTAACAAATAAATACTTTATTATGTTTAGAAATTATTCC